GGGGGGGGGGGGGGGGGTGTACTCATAGTCGTGCATGCCGTAGTCGTTAGACCATTGACCTCGCATCCCTACAAAGCCGGGACGGAGCACGCCGGGTTCTCACCGGACCAGGCTCTCACATCACCAAGCGCGAAGCGCCGTGAGGTATTCGGCGAGTCGCATCAAGGGTGAGCTGCATCCTGCTAAGGGTGTTCGGCATCTTGTGCTTACTTCCTTGCATACGAATGACAGCTGCGTATGACTTAATTTATTTTCTGGTGCTTTCACTTCCAGAGAAAGTTGTAAGCACTGTGTAACTGCCTCGAGGATGCTTGACCATTTTAACACAACGTGGTGCGATCATCCCCCTTGCGCGGAGTGAGGCTTCTCGACCCCGCACAACATGATCTACTCGACCACCATTCATGGTTACCGCAAAAAAAAAAACAAGAGGTAAAAAAACAAACGGTAACCTGGTTGCCGAGTTCACGAAGTGACTTGGCTTGTTTTACAACGTCGTTGCCAAGCGACGAAAACCCAATCTTGATGGCAAAACACCGGGGGGGGGCGGCTTGTTCTACAACGTTGCCAAGCGACGAAAACCCACCCCCGATGGCAAAACACCGGGGGGGGGTGAGGGGGAGACACTGGATGCGAAAGGCGACCCACGCCCACAACACCAGACAAAACAAGATATCGTCTTGATGTCGAAGCGTGAAAAAAATGGTCGCCGTATGGAAGATATCGTACGCCTATCTTTATTTTCCATTGAAAATCTTCCGTTACCTTCGGAGAAAAGTCTCCAGTATAAGGGGTGTGAACCTCACCACATTGCGGCCTAAAAATTTTATCGCGTCAAACACGCAAAACTACATTCACAAAATAGTGATCGATGGCTTTGTTGCGGGTGCAGCAGGCTTGGACAACACACACAATACTCAATTTCCAACAGTTTTTCTTGTTCTTTTTCTTTTTTCTTTTCTTCACCTCCAAGTCGAAGAACGCTGCTTTGATCGAGCTGCCTGCCCACGTTTCGAACGTCACGCCGACGGTGCGGTACTCGCAGTTGTCCGAGCTGAAAAAGGAAAGGAAAGGAAAGGAAAGGGACGGAAGCAACAGTCAGACGGGAGGCAAGAACGGGTGTGACAGACCACACCACAAAAAATAACACAAGATGGCAAGCCAGCTAGAGCAGGGCCACGCCACGAAGCTCATCCATCACCATACTGGTACAAAATTCGTAATCTCAACACAACACAACACCTTGTTGTGTCAGTCTCAACACCTGTCGAAAAGTCTTGCACGCCGCCAGCCTGCACACCACCCCCTCCGCAGGGTCGTCATCAAAGGCAAGATAGATACACACATCGGAAAACTGTTCGCGATTCAAACACCAAAGGACTCGCCTTGTTTCAAACGACAGAGGCTCGTCCTCCTTGATGGCGATAAATGCCGACGCGCCAGCGGCATCGACCACGTTCACCAGCTCTGTGCACCTATCTGCCGCCCATGTGCTGCTGGTGCTACCGCTGGCATAGTCCCAACTGGCGGTTTCAGCGGCTTCTACGCTCGCTTTTAGCACCTGTTCACGGAGACAGGCGGGCGGGAGTGGGCTGTTGAGAACCTGCTTTTTGGTTGTCATTTCGAGACCGTTACTATTTGAATGGGGAGCACAGCAGGTGCGGCAGGCTACAACTAGGTAGCATGGATCTATCTTCGGTCGAGAGTCATGCAGCATAACAGTAACGATGCTCGTACGTGGGTCAACTAGTTCGTGTCATGTGTTGCAGCACTCAAAGACAACGGGGGGGGGCAGCCGAAGGAGATTCGACCAAGCTAGAGATGAAGGTCCAAAGCTGATTCGCTAGAAAATGAAATCACTACAACAGTCGTGGATTGTTTACGTGCAGTCCAACAGATACCATCTCGGCATTGCACCAACTATGAAAGTCAAGACTCCAAACAATACTCCATTCCAGACGAGACGAGACCATGCACGAGGCACACCGGTCTCTGCTTGCGTTATCGCGTGCCTTCTCTTGAACATATTGAGCATAGCGCATACAACGGCAGTTTCCAGAAGACATACATTTCAGCCGAGAGAGAGCCTTCCCACGCGGTAAACCAAAATAAAAAAACGCAAATATGAGAGGACGCAGAGACAACCCGCTGACAACTCTCGGAGGGGGGGGAGGACGCGAACAAAATTGTAAAAGTAGGAAAAAATAGTATGGGAGAAAAAACCAAGTAAATATTGCAACTCCTACCTCATCTGTGTCGCAGGACTCAGGCACAGATCGCCCGAACCCAACTGTGGCCACCTCCGTGTCCATGCCAGCCCCTAGGCATGTCGTCACCACGCTCATCCCCTGGAAGCTCAAATGCGCCAGCGTCAAGCCGCACCCCACAACCTTCACGCCTACTCGCTGCAAGAACGCCTGTGTGCGTGTTACGAAAACAACAATATCAGGACACAACACGCAGACGCGCACGCAAAGACTTAACGCCGACGGTCAAATTTCATTGCTTAGCTTAGCGGGTTGAAAGGCAACCTGGCGCGGCCAATGCCCATCAAAGAAGCAAAGAAGCCTCTTTCACACGGAAAAATTACCACACCCACCCAACAACCCGCCTAGGAGATGGTATCGTTTTGAAACCGACAACTTGCTGTTGTTGGCTAGGCTGGGTTATGGCGCGGTTTGTAGCGCGGTCATGCGCTACGTTAATCGTTGTGCATACAGTACAGAAGTAGCAACTTACCCCATCTGCAAAGACAACGCCCCAGTTAACCAAAACGCTGCTAAAACACAGAAAAATACCGGTAGCAACATTCGTGCAGCCTAGCCGCAAAAGACCACCAAGCAAGGAGGGTAGGGTGCCGCATTGTTACTACTGGTCCCACGGAAGTCTGGGTTGTGTCAACACGCTCGGACTGCTCTTGACAAACAAGCTGGCACTTTCTCGTCCATGTGGCGTATATTTCGAGTTGAGCATAAAAAATGCCACTACTCCACTGGACACGACAATGACCTACAACGGCGGGCCGGGGGGGTTGCTCTCTCAGCCTGAAAGCGATTGACGAGCCTCGAATCCCCATCTCGACGAAGCACCACCGCCTTCGCGGCTTGCACTTCAGAACCCCAATAGTTATTGGAGGGGGTGGGAGCTTGTTGCTAGCTAGCCTCTAGGCTAAACTCAGCCCCGCCTATCTAACACTTATAATACGATTAGGAGGAGGGTGCGTGTGTGCCGTTGCAAAACGAGGTAAACTACATACATGCACGTAGGATAAGGGTAAGGACAAGGGAAATAACAACGCCTCACCTGCGATGAGGAGCAGTCCCGGCCATCACCAAACGCTATCCCCACGTCAAAGGAACCGCCCGACTCGGGCTCCACGCCCCCCACGCTTTCTACACTATCGTCGTCTGCCAAAACGAAACCGCCGACGACAACACAACAACAGGCAGGACGCGTCGACGGAATGATGAGATGGTGAGCGACAGGTGGATAAACAAAAAAAAACAGAGACCAAAGACAAACTTAAATACCATGTGTATCGTGGACAGAAACAAGCCCAACCTCTAAACCCTGCAGTAGCCCTGCACACACTTCACAAAACACAAAAAATGTGGCGAGGTGAACCTGGACAACAATACTTCATTTCAGTCCTAACGCTATTCCCTATGACAAACTAAACCGTGGTATATATAGCAGTATCGATGATGGTGTGGGAAACCAGCTACTCCTACATATACGAGCGGGTGGAAATGCGTCGAGGGGCGGCAAGGACCCGTTCACAATAAGGCTACCCAAATCTCATGGGCAGCAATGTAGACCCTTTGCCGTAAAACCAAATCCATTAACCCCGCTATTGCCGCTATTGGCATCATCGCAATCACGTCTTCATAAATCAATCAAACAACGATAGCTCAACACGCCGTACACTCAGGAGCCGCTCAACACACCTACTTCGAGCTTACCCCGGCCATTCACCATCACCACATCGCTGTTGCACCGCCGGCTTCCAAGTGGAAACCCCCCGCAACACCGTTCACGTCGTCAATATTCACAACCGATTTCAGGACACAGTGTCTGTCACTTGCATAGTTCAATACCACTGCTGTCCACGTACTGTTCATATTCAAAACCGATCTCACGGAACCCCTTAACTACTGCTGTGTCTGTCTAGCATACAAACACGTAGCACGTCCTGTGTCTGTCACTGCATTACTTCGTACTGTACCAAGACTAGTGACTCACCCATGTAGATTATCTCTATCTCGGCATCTGGATCGCCAGACACCACCGTTGGAAGAAAGTCGCCGAGCTTGTCGAAGTGCGAATAGTCGTCCGAGATCTCCATAAACAAGGCATGGATGCACCCTTGATCTACCGCCAACTCCACCACAACTCCGCCGTACCCTGACACCACGACAGAGGCAGGCGGGCAGGCGGGCAGGCGGGCAGGCAGGCAGGCAGGCAGGCAGGCAGGCAGGCAGGCAGGCAGGGAACGAACAAAAACAGAGTTGATCAGGATGTCTTCTGTGACAACCAAGGACGAGACCTTCGTAAGGAAAACGACGGTGGAACGAAGGTACAGCAGGAAGGAAGGCAGGCAGGCAGGCAGGCAGGCAGGCAGGGAGGGAGTAAGGTCACCCTCGACGGCCACAAATATACTCGTGCATCATATCCTATCGTAGCGAATGCAGAATCAAGCACCAGCGAGAGGTCCGCCAAAACGAATGCAACTTCAATAATTTATCCAAAATTGGTACAATACTGCTGTATCACAGAACACATCCGGATGTAGAACGGGGCAAAACCACGTTCAGGTATGCAGAGGGTAGGCTACACATGAGAGCTCCTGCACTTACAACCTGCGGTGGAGGGCCATAGCAAGTGAACAAGATTTTCCTCATTGTAATCACACGATCACAAACAATACGGTGAGTGAATGGATCTGCCTGCACGACTCTCCATGTACAACCTTACATTACACTACACGCTTGGGACCAACGAAAACGTCCTGACACCGCCGTGACGAGCCCATTTCTAAACACAATTCCTCCTGGTTTGCAAGCGCTACTGTAGCAAGAGATCAACGCCAGAGAGGAATCGGAATTGGAAAAAAACTCCTTCCAAGTATACCCGAATGGGGGTCGGGGGCACAGAGGCAACATGCTGCTCACAATCGACCGCCCCTCTTCCACAGCTACCACTCGATCTAGGGTTCCCAGATCATGTCTCAATATCGGGGTCTTCATCAAACATGAAAACGACGTGCCGACCACTGCTCCCATCCTCGCAAACTACTTGCATGAAGTATGTGGGTTGCATGTAGAACCATGTGTGCAGCCTGGAGCCACTATTCCCGTGGATTGACAAGGTCGTACAGTATGATGCAGAGCGATGATTTCGGGGTTCCTTTGGGAGCGCGAAACGAAACACGCGCTTAAGAGATACCGATATACTTCACGATATCTATCTGCTGTCTGTGCATGTACAAGTCACCTTGGCCCGACACAACTGAGGGGTGAGGAAAGCACGGGGCCCATCGAAACGCAAGACTACTGTGTAGACACAGACCGTGCGCAAGACAAGATGGAAACAAGATGAGGTGCGGGGAGCAAGTGGGGCTTGCGTGGCTTGCAAAACAAACAAAAATCCGAGTCTTCGAGCGGGGCAATGCCTCGGACGGTACAGAATAGCCTTCACGTCATTGCATGATGCCTTAAGAAGGAAAACACACACACACCCAAGCATGAAAGTTTCGCATTGCTGAGCCCGGCGCTGTCGCCCTCAAAAACCCAATGAACAGCCATGTAGGCTATGTATGCATATGCAATACAAGAGCAACAAGAGTTTGTGGACGAAGAGGCTTCCTGCTGACCACTAGTGTTTGTGTGGTGGTACTTCTATTCTTGTTGTGGATACCTCTGCCCGGCCAACCTGAACGCATTTTCGTGTCGACCTAGGGATCGATCACATTATTTGCACACAACTCCTGCAGCCGCGGTGTATATCGGATCGATGTACGTACCTATCTCACCCCACAGGAGACCACGTCCAAACAATGAAGTTTTAATGGCCCCGTCCCGAGAGCACCTGTGTATCTACAGCAGCGGTGCCATTGAGCTGCAAACACCAGTGTGCTTGGCTAAATACGCGCACACCTCAAGGGCAACTTCAACAGCAGTGTGGCTCTGTCTCCGCGCGTGCGTTGTGCGTATTCGTGGCGCACCCAGACCACCATACCAACAATGAATCGATTGTAGACCATGAATTCAAGGAATACCGTGCCTCAACGGGCAAGGCAGTCTAGCAGGGGGTGGATCAACCTCTCATGCCGAGTCTTGACCATATACGCCTAACAGACACTGCTGTTGTGCACACGAAGGATTGCGGGAAACTGGAGCAAAATCAGGGCTATGTCATCCCGCACGTGTGTCGTGTCGATGCTCTGCTATCTCGGAGACGAAGACACTTTATAATAAATACATGGTAGAACTACTACTACTACTGCTGTAGACAGTTAAAAGGGTTGCAGGCATTGCTCCCATGTTTCCAATAAGTTAGTTGGAGAGGGTTGTAGTTGTACTACTGTACATGTGATCAGTAGGCCCCTACGAACTACTAGTAGCAACGAACCATCCATCTCTCGGATACATCGGACCATCTTCGGCCTCTTCTATGTACGATGTGGGCGCATGATAATGAGAAGGAAAATCGACGGCGGGGAGGCTTAGACTACCCTGGGAGCGACGGAATGTTGCCAAAATAAACACACGGCAATAACTACACCTGTGGAGTCGGATGTGCTGCTCTATGCTCTGCACCCCTTGAGTGCCGGCCAACAGCCTCATGTCCGTACACAGGTGCGCCCAACAAAAAATGGAACGGGCAACGGCTCCCCCTGCTCAACAACAGGCAAAAACTCCACAGAGTTGACAAAACAATTGTACATGTGTAGGTTTATAAACAAGCAGGTCGTGCGCAGACTTTGGGCTAAAGCAAAGCACACACTCCGAGGAGGAGAGTATAGATTCGGCACCCAGCGAGTGCCTTCTTCTTTCAACCCTTGCACTGCGTGAGGCAGAAACACATCTGTGGGTAGTGATGTCCTCGCGCTGCAACGCTTGGCAAAGGACATCTTGCAACACAAGCACCAGCAGGAGTCATAATACAATCCCACAAACAAACGTGAAAGGAGAGATATCAACCATTCCGCGTTCTGCGTTCCCCTGATAAAATGAGAATTGAACGTTTGTTTCCCGCGCCGCCACCTGCAACTGGGATTTGAGTTGAACTGCCCAGCGTTGGTACATACATACCCCGACCCATTTGCTGCTTTGAGACTTGTTGATAAGCAAACGGCGACATAACTATTTAATCGAAAAGACAACGGCAAGTGCGGTAATAGCCGACGGCCAGTTTACACAAGAGCGGCAAAACACGAAAAACTGAAACCACGCATGATGATGTGATACAATTCTACACACGATAACAGATGCAGCATGCAGACACAAGCACAAGAAGGCTTTGCTCTTGAAATTGGGCAAAAATTGCGAAGCTCGGCAAGCCAACAACAAAGAGCTTGGCATGGCAGGAGAACAGCTAGAACGTATGAATAGACCTCTCGGCCTTCTATGGACACGCTCTGTTGGTTTGCAAATGGCGCGGTAGAAAGAGTTCGTGCCACCAAGCAACCGGCGGAGAATGCTGTCAAGAGTCAATCCTCTCTGCTGCGAAAATCAAAAATAATCACCACAGATCAAACAACCTCCAGTTCTTTTCTGCACCGCCGTGCATTATTCAGGACAGCAGGTGTTCAAAAAAACGGCGTCCCACACTAGGGTAGGCGAGGGGCGGCGGGAAGAAAGGGCCTTTTCTTGGCGTGGCGTTGCATCGCACGCTCCACGAGAGATTTTGGTCGGAGGGCGCGTGAGCAAGCAAGCAGAGCACCCTGGGGGTATGTGTGGGTGTTCCTCCGTTGCTACGTTTAGAATTTTCCAATCCCCCAGAGAGCCAGAGAGCAGTGGGTACAAGAACGGGAGGGCCGCTTGGCCCGCCTCCCGCTGAACTAGGCACGACCGGCCAATTAAAATCCGGTTGAAGGTTAGCTGCAAGCACCGAGAGGAGGACGTTGAACGTTTTTAGCGCCGTTCCTTGCTCTGCTTGCGGCCGTAGATATGTTTTGCAAGGGTTGTTATCAGGCATGTGTGCGGTTGCTTGCTGATATGTAGGGTCACAACTGAAAAATAAATGTTGAGAGAGTCAAGACTCCAAACAACACAACGCCCCAAGCAAGCCCGGCCGCGGGTGCAACTGGCCGGTCATCTCTACAAAAGGGTGGAACGACGCGCTTCTTGGTAAGGCGCTCGAAGCCAATCAATGGCTGCACCAGGGCCTCTCCTCTCTTCGGCTCTACCTTTGCCTCTCTCACCTTCCGGACACGCGCTGTCCGCCGGCGGCACATCAAAGGTATGCCTCACATCGACCGGGACTGCGAAGCTCCCGTCTCCCTGCTCCGTGATCCTTTCGTATTCACACCCGGCCCCGCTCGCACCGACCCAACCCAGGGCGGCCACCACCAAGAAAAACAACGGACCACGAGCGGACCACGCCTGCCGCCGTCGCAATCGCCGTCGTCTCATCCAGCGTTCGCCTGGAACAGCAGCAGCCGCCACGGCAGCAGGGCGCAATGATGTTTCCCTACTACCCATGGCGGTTCGCGCCTTCCCTCCTCCTCCTCCTCCTCTTCCTCCCCCAAGCTCTTCTTTGCCATGTCCTCGGTGCATGGGGATGCTGGCCAGCTCAACGCATGGAGCTATAGAACGCCGGGGTGGGGGGTGGCGGGCGCACGGGCACTAACGCGCAGCGTGTGTTTCGCTTGTGTTGGCGTGCGTACGGTGTGCGACGCGCAACAAGCAAGCAAAAGCCTTCCGCCGCTGGTCTTCTTGCCACAGCTTGCCTTCCTTCTTGTCTAGATTAGACGTTGCCGAAATATTTGATTCTTTAAAAGCGGACTGGGTTACAAGTTCCTTTTTTTTTTCCGTGATAAAAATATAAATTAATTTTTAACAGGGCCAAGGGTGGGCGCGGGACCCCACCTGGACCTCTCGCTCCCCTTCTCTACAGGTCTCTCCACTTTCCAAGAGTACGCTTTTGTTGCGGATTCAAGCGCAGCAAAGAGTAGCGTCGGAGATGCTTTCAGAGAAAATTGAGTGACATCGAGCAGGTGAAGGCAGAGTGTATTCCGCCACACAGGTAACTAGTGGGGTAACTTCTGGGGTGTACGCACTCCCGAGATCGAGAGGATGTATGTATGATCTTGCCAAGCTTTGCAAGCATGGGGCGTGCCTTCCGCCGTTTCGACCTTCGTTCCATGCAATCACAGATCATGTCAGCTCACCGGCGGGGGGTATACGAACTTCTTTTTTTTCCAGTCGGGTCTTGGTCCGGTCCACCTCTATTCTCCCAAGCAACCGTCTACTTACGGCTGGCTGCAAGGCCGCGTCCCGCCGTGTTAGGGTGGCGCAACATGCGCACACACGGCGGTGTCTAATCGAAAGAAGATGCGCGATGTGTGTATGTATGTGTGGTTGGAGTTATCCACCGACAACAAGAGATTTCCTCATCTCCATGTATGTATGTACAAGTATGTACGTGTACATAGATCTACAGCAGCAGCGTAAACGCCGGCCGTCGTCTACACCCCGTACCTTAGGTCGCATACGATACCCCGCCTCTGGGACCGATTTTCAAAGCTCGAATACTCTGCACGAAAAAACTGCGACGGGTGTCAAAAACGGCGGCGGCGTTGGAGCCGTCTCGTCGAGAACTTTGCGCCGTGTATCTGATTTTGTCATCTTCTTCGTGGAGTACTCGCGCCGTGAAAAATTGTCTCCAGCGGGTACGGTATCTTATGCGACCTACGGTATGTACACGGCGTACTCACCATCGAGCAGAAGAAGGTAATGTACCCCGCCCCCCCGTTCTTCTAACAACGCCGACCTAACTTACTTACCATCAAGTGCATGTTAGTATATGGAGGGTTTTGACATTGCGGTGGTACTACTGTGGCACGAGCTCCTCCTGGGTATATAGTCTTGCGGGTTCCTCCGTTGTCCCTACCCTCGCTGGTGTATGTTCTACAAACATCCTGTCCGGTTTCAATTTTCTGGGTGTTGAGTTGTTTGTGTGCTTCATTCAATTCCTGCCGTGCCGACGGGGAAGAACCACCCCGGACTTCCCCGCCATCCGAACTGAAGGTGGAGGAGGTCTACCACCAAGAAAATCCTCACGATATTGAGCACACTATTGTAGGGTTGGCGCACGTATCGGGTCCATCACTCACTGGACTACTACCTGTGGAACGCACTATTCACGACGACTATAAAATCTGCAAATACATCAACATCCATGCCCACGGATAGATAGTCTATTTCACACGCAATCCCATTCAGGAGCCTGACTGACCGATAGCTCTTCCACCACTGTTTGTTGTGCCATCTCTCGACCCGGGCTATGAAGTGTGTTTCCACACGTTCACCGGTTGCTCGACTTCGGGCCCCTTGTCTACTTTCACACGACAATCTTGGAACCACTCTCCACTTCGAGTTTCACTTCGCATTACCCGCGCTCTCGGGATAGATATTTCCGCTTCTTGTTTTCAGGAAGACCTGATTCAGCCCCCATCGGCAGTAGACAAAGCATTCCTCTCACCATGCTTGCTATCGGGAAGAGAAGGCGAACCGGCATGGATGGGGGGTAACATACGCGAGCACGAGGGGGGAGCAGGCGGGCGGGCGGGGGTGCGGGGGCTGTACGCGGAAAAGACATAGGGGCACACGTGTGACGTCTGCGAACACTCGCATCTGTATCCTTTCTGCCGGATACCCCGATACACCCTTCTTCAGCATCTCTATAACAACCCCACCATCTCGGTCGCATTTCATGTCTACACCGTTGCCGTGGGTACCTTCTTCGATCACCGACGACGACGGCCCGGGCACCGGGCCCAGTCTCACTCTCCCTACCTGTCTCCTTCTCCCTACTCACCTTTGTCTCGCCACTCCATGCGCTCCCACTATCCCCCCCCCACGGTTGGCCCGGTCTTCTCGGAGCCCGCATCCTCATGCTGTCTCACCCGACGCCCCCCCCTCCCCCCCATCTCCCGCGCACGCGGCGAAGCTCACCCCTCCTTCATGGCTTTCCCTCCGGAGTGTTGGTGCAAGCACTCGAATCTCCTCTGGGCGAAGTGTGTGGAAGGAATGTCACACTGTACGTGTTGTCCATTTTCTCCGTCGTTGCCGGGTTTACCTTTCTTTCGGATTTCGCCTCGGCTTCTCTCACCCCCACCACCAGTCCCCCCCCTCAGCGCCCCGCCCCCCCTCTGGTGTTTGCCATCGGGGTTGGGTTTTCGTCGGTTGGCGACGACGTTGTAAAACAAGCCGCTCCCCCCGGCGATTGCCATTGGGGTTGGGTTTTCGTCGCTTGGCAGCGATGTTGTGAAGCAAACCGATCACTTCGTGAGCTCGGCAAGCAGGTTACCGCTTTTTTTTTCCTTTGGGGCTCTTTTTTCTTGCGGTAACCATGAATGGTGGTCGAGTAGATTCTGTTGTGCGGGGTCGAGAACCCTCAACTCGCGCAAAGGGGATGATCGCACCACGTTTTGCTAAATTGGTCAATCACCCTCGAGGCAGTTACACAGTGCTTATAACTGTCTCTGGAAGTGAAAGCACCAGAAAATAAATTAAGTCATACGCAGCTGTCAACCGTACGCAAGGAAGCACAAGATGCCGAACACCCTTGGCAGGATGCAGCGCACCCTTCATGTGACTCGCCGAATACCTCACGGCGCTCCGTGCTTGGTGATGTGAGAGCCTGGTCCGGTGAGAACCCGGCGGGAGCGGTCATGTAGGGATGCGAGGTCAATGGTCAAACGACGACGGCATGCACGACTATTAGTATGAGTACACCCCCCCCCCCAGCGCCACTCACAATGGTCAGAGTTGCTTCTTTAATCTCCTCCCATACGCTGCCGGGTGTCGTCGCTGCCAATGGACTCTGCCACGTCAACACAGCGCCTCATGTTTTGTCGACCACTACAGTATTGGCGGGATCGCGGGCATGTCGCCCCCAAAGGTAGAGAGAGGTATTCCACCCTACCGCGTTGTGATCTCGGAAGAAGGCCCTCTCCGCCACCCTGATCGTCCACTCTTGAAAGTCCTTCTTAGGCGCGTCTGTGAAAAGGCGCCATGGAACGAGCCGCTTATAGCCAGCAGCCCCCGAGAAAAACTCGCTGAGCCGTGTCGCCTACATTCGCTTGCGTCTCCTTCTTTCATGCTGAAAACCGGTACGTCGCCCCCTCGCCCTGCACTCCGAGGAACTTGTTCAGGTACCCAATTCTCGTCCAACAGGGCGTAGAGATCAACGGTCCATACCCACCACCAAGTTTCATGCCAGCTGCCCCCCCCCTCCCCCCCGCCCCTCCTCCCTCGATAACCCGACTGGAGAAGTTCTGCGCCTCTACTCCCCCCATCGCGTATGTATGTCTGCCCCGCTCCACTCCCTTCGACCCGGCGAATGGGAGCCGGGATCGGGGCGTCATTTCTCGTCGAGTTCGCAAATGAGAACCATGTATTGTACGCCGGGTGGCGGTGGCAAACCGCCACGAGACCCCCGCCCTTCAGGAGCATCGCTCTATATTCATCGACCGTTTCCCGTTGCTGTACGTCTTTTCTGGAACTCCGCCAGCGGAACCAACCGCAACCATTGTGCCACCGAACTGGAGAGCGAGTGGGGAGGGGGGGTACTCATGTTGATGTTTTGCAAGCCTTAGCGGTTACAGTAGACCATTGACCACACGTCCTCGAGATGACGGAACATTTTTTTCCACAGGACCGATCACCAATGGCGAATCGTTCCTTCCACTTTGCCAAAGGTGGCTCAAATACGTTTTCCCGAGCCATTCTGTCCTATCGATATCACTCCCCGCACCTTGGGGGGGGGCGGGGAGAAGGCATGCTAGCGAGGGCAACGCCGCTGAAAACGGAGGCAGACAAGACGTACAGCAAATGAGATCGGTCGGCGAAAGACAAGCATGATGTTCCTGGGGGGGGCAATCCGTGGCCGTTTGCACCCACCACCCGACACCGGTTGCCGATGGACGGGTAGAAGGGAGCAGACACACGCGATGGGGGGAGTAGAGGCGCGGAACTTCTCGAGTCACGTTATCGAGGGAGATGGGGGTAGGATAGCTGTCGTGGAGCTTGGTGGTGTATATGGACCGTAAATCTCGACGCCCTGTTGAACGAGAAAGGGGCCCCTGGGCAAGTACTTCACTGTGCAGGACGAAGCTGCAACTACCATTTTTCAAGTATGGGAGAACGAAACGCAAGCAGGCATCGCCGACACGGATCAGTTTTTTTTTTTTTCGGGGCACCGGCTGCTGGTTAAAAGCGATGGTCCAACGGTGCCTTCGCAGCCGTGTTCATTAAGGACTTCCAAGCGTGGCCGCTCAAGGTGGCGGCGAGGGCCGTGTATGTTTTTGATTGGGGATCCTTGTTTCTTGTTTTTGTTTTATGCATGGCCTCGGGTGCCGCTCTATGAACTCTATCTTCCAATCGCCTTGCTCGACATCCCTCCTGCGATGTTTGATGTCCGGGCGTTAATAAGTGTTAGCCATTTGACAACGGAAGGTGTCCGCGTCAGTTGGACCAATTCGAAAGTTAGACGACTACTGTACACAATAATACAACAGAGGAAGCACCCCCCGCAGCAGACCCGACACCTAGCTCTGGGGTTATTAGACGACTGTATACTGCTTGTCGAGGGTAACCCCGGTCTCAGCTGAGACCCTCTTCCTGCGTTCCAGGGAGGACCTCTGCGTCGGGTATGATGCGAGTTGTTCTGACGACATGAACGACAATTATTTGTTCCGAGGTCGGAAAAGACGGGAAGAAATTGCGCCGTTGGTGATATCTAACGGGGCGGCGAGTGCTCCGTAGTGGGCCCTGTTTCCCCGCATCCCACCGCCTAAACAATTTTGCCGAGACACTCATACACATACAAACATACATGGTGGAGCCTTTAGGTCACGTTTCGGGGTAAGCTGGCCTTTACGGATATTGTCCACCGAAAAAAGACTTATTCCCCATGAGGCGTTTGTCGAGGGTACACCCCGAACGTGGGTGTCCAAGGCTTAATTTGTGATTGACCAAAGAGCGCGACACTTGCCAAGACATACCTCAACACTTGCCAAGACATAACTCAACACTGCCGTGCGTGAATTCGCGAGAGAGGGATATTTGTCTTTTTACGTGGTCCGCCGGAGCCAAACAAGGAAGAAGAGGCATGGTGTTCAGACGAGGGTCTGACATCCTAAGCCCCCTCCTCATCTCCAGCCACGCACGACAACAAACGCTGATTTGTGCTACAAGTACAACACACAAAGATGCACGAGTCCACCCAACGCCCGACTGCATCCCTTCCAGCCCCTCGGAACGAAAATAAGATCGAGGGAGGGATCTGGTGCACGAGGACAGCAAGCCCACCAAGCGACCTTGAACGGAAGATGCCACGCACTGCTGTTCAAGCTGGCCCAACGTTCCAAGAACAAACCTACTTGCCTTCCACCCCCCGGAAATACTATTCTCTTGGGGTCATCCCGTCGCCAATCATCATCAATCATCATCACGACTGACTGAGTGAGTGAGTGAGTGAGTGAGTGAGAGCCCCTGCGCCCACTACGAAAAGCAGTTGCAGAAGTGGATATGACCCAGCTCGGTCTTCATGACCCCGCGCGCGGTTTCCACGAGCGTGGGCCAAGCGTCCGCGAGGGAAACGCCAACACTAGTACTACCGCCGCTGCTCGTCCCGACTGCGTATCGCAACACCAAGCACTGCTGGTCGTCCCCGCCGCCGCCACCGCCACCGCCACCGACGTGCACGCCTTCCTGGCAAGTCAAGAAAATTCTTAGATTTTTCCCGGTGGTGGCGGAGGGGCCGGACACCGCATTGTCAGGGTCCCTTGCTCCTTCAGCCGGCAACACGACTACGTCGCTGCTACTACCGCCAGCGCTTTTAGCAACTACGGTGTCGCTGCTTGCCCTGGTCGTGGGGCTAGTGCTGCTGCCGGGTGTCGCGCCGCTGTTGACGGCTCGGAGGATGGATCGGTTGACAGCGTCCAGGTTTACGCCGAACTTGATGCACAGCTGCGAAGAGCGAGAGGGACGTGGGAGGAAGCACGGGGGTGTGCGTCAGGCGAAGCATTGAGCAAAGGTGACGGGCGACAGGGCAGAGGACATCGGGAGCCGAGAACCATAAGCCGTGCGCGCATTGAGAAAGCACAGGGAGATAAACCACCAACAGCTCGCCCACGGACAAATCGCAATCCTACGCGTGGCAAAAACAGAGAGGGGTTCTGCCCCCACAACAACAAAAAACAGATACAGTACAGCAAAGAAAAAGCAAAAAAACACCCCACGCCCATTGTCCCCGCTTTGTAGGGGTGCGAGGTCAATGATCTAAAAACTAAGGCATGCAAACATGAGAGTACGCCCCGCCCCCCCCCATTTCAGCAGCTGACCTGAGATGGCGGGATACCGTAGGCACCAGCGCCGGTAAAACGAAAGCGCACGACGTGCTGGGCACACGAGGGCGTAGCCTCACGAGGCACGGGATCGAAGAGAGGATCGTCCTCCAGTATTCTCGTCATTCGCTCGGTTTCCTTCTCAAGCTCGGCCGAACCACGGCCGTCGCAGTGTCTCTCCGAACTTGCCGAAGGTTTAGACGATTCGGGGGCGAACCGACACACAAAACAAGAGCGAGCGGCAACATCAACACCAACAGCAGCAGCAAGCAGCAGTCAAGATGCCCTGAGAACGGATCCCGCGTGACACTACAATTCGATAGGGTGTCAACCGACCAACGTTTTCACGCTCAACAGCATGTCGGCATACCCACGTGTTCTCAGCTCCTACTACGTACCTCATCCACGAAATGCCACACTGCTGTCACGTCCAGCATAGCCACTCCCCCAAAACTCCACACACGCGGGGAATACGGAACATGTCAACAGCAACAGGTGTGGGCCGCCGAAAAAAGCAGGGCCAAACGCCGCCACGTCCCCGACTCTCTCACCCAGCACCGGACGACGTGTCGACGCGCAAGCCTTCCAAGGCGGACAAAACCCCGGCGCGGTCCATCCCCACCCCTATAACGACCAGGTGGAGGCTCATTGGTCCCTGCCACACGCCGTCGGTTTCGAAGGAAAGACGCCGCCTCCCGCTCATGTTGAAAACCGACCTATTCGCGACGACGAATGAGCGCGGGTGTGACGTCAACGGGCTGGGTCGATGGAGGAAAATGGTCATGACTTGGCAGAGGGCAGCAAGATCATCACTTGGAAAATGATTATTGAGTCGCATAGGACAAACAAGATCACTTCACCTCCCTCTTGCCGGTTCGTGATGGAAGGGCAAAGCGAACACGTCCCCCCTCCGAGACACGCATACGTAGTCGTGGGGTCGACCTTAGATCTGAGGAGCGTACATACATACTAAGCAGGAACGAGATAGCACAAGTCTTTGAACCCAGCATGCCCGCAGAGAAGGTAGGTGACTCTTACTACTCGAGCATTGGATAGACCACGACCACGACAGGGTCACTTTGACAAGTGTTTTGGTTGGGGGAGGCCCAAACGGCAAAGCAAAAGCTAGGCAGGGGTCGACAGTCAGTCGGTCTGTCAAACCCTTACCTATACCTTTACCGTTACCTTTACCTAGTCAGCCTGTCCTCGTCGAAGGCCAGCACCCCCTTCACCCGCACCACGCCCGCCGGCATGCCATGGCAAACCCAATCCTGGAACCTTGCGCCGGAAAAGAACCCGTGCAAGGACAGGGGTTACCCAGACAAGCTCAGTCGGAGTAATATTGTTCCTCAGACACAAACATGCAAGAGCTTTCCCATCACTATTGACGTCAACACTCTCCCCGACGATGTTGCGAAGAAAGCAGTTGGGATAGACTCATCTCGCCCCACGCACAAAACGAACGCAAGCAGCCCCTTGTGCAAACAAAAACTAGACTGCCCTTCCGTGGTATGCCCCCCCCCCCCAAACAAAAAAAACATCACTATTGATACATGTACACTCGCCAAAAAACAACACACACCTTTTAATAGGCGACCATAGACAACACACCTTGGCGTGTTGGCACGCCAACTCTCAAAACACCGTGATTCGGCTCAACGTCTCAAACTAACGACTCCGTGGTCTCTCTACCTCGCGAGCGACAGCGGAAGACCAGACGTGAAGGTAACCTGCTCGAGGCGGTCGTCCCGCAAGTGTCCCTGCGGTGCCTCCGTCTTCCCCACCTCCGCCGAGCACTCGTGTCCGTCGCCGCCACCGCCGCCTGCGACGGAGCGTGACTTGTTCCGATCGTGTTTGGAAGACGAAGACGACGACGCTAATGATGATGATGCCGTTCGCAGGTTTCCTCCCTTGGAGGAGACGCTCAGGTGGACTTTCACTCTCTTCTCTTGCCAGCCGTGGGGTGTTGTTTTCGGGGGGGAGTAACGAGGGCATCGCAAAGCTTGTGTCAGACTTGATGTGCGCATATGATTAATGGGGGTAAGATGTTGCAACATTGACCATATCATCATCATCAACCGCAGCATCACCAGTAAACATGTTCGGGTGAGCAGCACACCAGCCTATGCCACCCCCATGGAAGCAGTAGCCGGCAACAACCACACACCGACAACGCAACTTGGCGCCGTTCAGCCAAGCCTGCACGTGTCGAAGAGGCTAATGGAACAAACCTCTCTGACCGCAAAACAAAAAAAAATTGGAGAACCTAAGCACAGGAGGTTTATGAAACAAACCTCTCTAACCATAAGACAAGCGCAGTAAGAGAACCAAAGCATTGGAAGTGGCCGCCCCTTCCAAAGTAACGCCTCTCCGGGCGCACCTCATGGGAGACCCCCTGGATGTCGGTCCGCGGGGCCTCCACGTCCAGCACCGAGTGCAGGGGCACCTTTCCGTAGGAGCAGAACTCCACTCGTGCGGCGGGATTGACACTCGCGACCTCTTCGGTGAGCTTCGACAACCTTTCCAATACGGTCAGTGGTGACGCGTACGGGCGGCGGTGACAGATTCGGTACGCATGCGGGCGGGAGCATCACACCAGCACAGCACAGAAGAGAGCGCGCACGGGTATTGCGCGTAACAAGCAGGAGGGGTCGTCATTTACGGAGAAACCAGGTTGGTGCCTGCTGCGAAAGCAATGGCACGATCCACTTCGGCAACGTACAACAACAAAGGATATCAACTGACGTCGCGCGGCAGTGGACCAGTTCACGTACTCGTCTTGACCGTACCCTACCGCACCCTACCGTACCGTTGGTCGTCCAGTAAGTCGGCCTTGTTGAGGAGGATGACGTCAGCGCTCTCTAGCTGGTGTCTCATGGAGACCAACATGCCTCCAGCACCCCCCTGCCCCCCCGCCCCCGCCGCCTCCTCCAGTTGGTGGGACAGCGCGTCCGCATCGACGACAGTCACGACGGAGTCTAACCTGTGGGCACCAACAACCAATCAACGCATTTCTTTGGCATCGTTCATCCAACCCCCCCCGCCCCAACACAAAATATACTTGGCGAGGATCTTAAGCTTGCTTTTTAGTAGGGGGCATCGGGTGAGATTGAGGGTTAGGGTTGGTTAGGGATGCGAATCCCCCCCTCTCTGATTCATATATTAGGCTAATAATTAAATCCTCGTGAAGGCAGTCCTACAAAATTCCATCCGTCCCGTCCGTTGATTCAGCGGGAACCCGTTTAGGGAATCAAGGCATGCACGGTAGCAATCAAGACCGCGCTGTTTCGGACGGAAGCTGCTGTAGGCATAAATAAGCCCCACTCCGTGCGATTCTCGAGCGTTTTGCCGGGTGGGGTACTTTGAATTCGAAACATGTGACTGCTGTGACAATCGAGTGACATTCTATAGCCAACGAGGGCTCGTTCCACCAAACACGAGGGCCTTTGAAACAGCCCACTGAATGAGAAATGAATTCGAAACAACGAAAGGCGACTCGTTACCATGAAAAAAGCAAAAAAATACTTGCTTCTTCATTGAAGTTCATTGAAGAGGCACGTTGAGAGTGTTAGGGTATAGCGGTGACAACACCGACCCACCTTGCTCTGGTGAGCTTTCCGAAGGTCTTGTCGAGTGCCCGCACGATCGACTCTGGATCAGAAACACCGCTGGTCTCGATCACGAGGTAGTCGTACCTGAACGACACCGTTGCCAACACCGACAGCAACGACAGATATCGTAAGTGTACACGAGATGAACAACAACACCAACAAGGGCTTCGCACCGGCATCGCATCGACATGGACTCCCTCAATGACTACCCGGCCACGAGCATCAATACAATGTGGATTCCCAAAACTGGGGGGCGACGTCAGAATGGTATGTTGTAACCGGGGTGCTTGGTCTGCCACCACCGCTCTGAAGCGTCGTTTCTCTTGCGGGGTTGAGTCGAAAAGCAACATCAAAACATGCACTCATTGAAAAGTACATGATCATATCGGCGAAACTACCACTAACAGCGGTAGTACCGTAAGGTTGCATTATATAGCACACCCCCTGGCCCGATTTCCAAAACTCGATTACTCGGTAGGAAAAGCAGTGACGGTGCCGAAAATGGCGGCGTTGGAACCTTCTCGTCGAGAGAGAGCTTTCCGACAACGTATCCTTTGATGTCAGCATCCTCTTCGTCGTGGAGTAATGAAGCTTTGAAAATCGTTCGAGACGGTGTGGCATCTTCCGTCATACAACCTACGGTAGTCCGACCCGCCAATATCGATATCATAAAGGCATGTACACAGAAAGGTGCAAGAACCGTTTGCGTGAGGTTCTTCCAGTCGAAACCACGAAGTTACCCCCAGACTCACGATCCAAGCTTATCGTAGCTCGAGCGCGCGGCACCTGCGCAGCCTACGGCAGCTGGCATCAAAATCACCGAAAGCTAAACCTTGTGTGCCAGTCAGCCCAGTCCATTACGTCTTGCGTCAAGTAGGGCTCAACAGTCAAGAGACGGGTTAATGTTTCAAAATAACAATGAAAACAGCAGGGGTGGAAGTCGAGAAGGGCCTTGCTGTCGAACCGGTCTTCTCCTGGCACCTACGTATCTCTCACGAACGTTACCCTCGTCTAGCATGCACTTCTAGCTGTTTTACGAAGCGCTTCTTTCTGACGCCCAAAAGCTTCGAGGCCAATGTCTTGCGGTTACGGCATGCGATTACATGAGTACCGTGCATCCCCCCCCACCTATCTTCCGCATGGTCCGGCCTCCTCAACAGCTCGCTGACCTTCTCCTCGAGCTGGCCCCCGAGGGAGGTGTGGCAGCACACGCAGCCGCCCATGAGCTTGTCTACGCTGTCCGTCTGTCCGTCTCTCTCCAGCACCCCTCCGTCGTGGTCCACAGTGCCGTACTCGTTCACCACGGCGGCGATGCGAAGGTTGTGCTGCAAACGTCGACAACACGAGACACCCGGCAAAGGAAGAATTGTCGACATGTCTTCGTCTGTACAAGAGGAGCTGTGTTCACCGTCAAAAACGTCGACAACGAAGGTTGTGCTGCAAACGTCGAAAACACAGGACACCCGGCAAGGAAGAATCGTCAACCTGTCTTCGTCTGTAGAGCAGCTGCGTTGCACCGTCCAAACCATCGACAACACAAGGCACTCAGCAAGGAAGAAATGGTAACGCATTGTTGTTTGCAGAGCTGTGTTGCATGGTCAGTTACACAACACGACACAACCGCGATACGAAGGTTGTGCTGCAAACGTCGACAACACAAGACACCCCAGCAAGGAAGATTGGCAACTTGTTTCTGTCTTTAGAGGAGCTGTGCTGCATCGTCAAGGACGTCGACAACACAAGACGCCCCAGAAAGGAAGAACTGGTATTACTATGTTCTGGTCTTTGGAGGAGCTGTGTTGTACCATCAGACACGTCGACCACACAAAGACACCGACATGGAAAAACTGGCAAAAGTCTGTATGTAGAGGCAGCCTTTCAAAATGGCAACGGTTTGAGCCCTCCCTCAAGATCGTTTGAAAAATGTGCCGTTTTGGAGCCACCCTAGCTGGAACGGATGAGCACACCCCGTAGACCGACCTTGAAAGCTCGATTGCTCCGCAACCAAGAGGGTGCTATCGAAAACCGACCGACGCGGGCAAGTAAACTTCTCAATCCACTCCCTTCGGCATTGGCAACCTGTCCATCAGGGATAACCGAGCTAGGATGAAGTTAGTGGCCTAGCGTGCCCAAAGCCGACCCCCATAAAACAATCGTTCAAGCTCTTTCTGTTGTGTCCGTCTGCAAACCTTCGAGCGTAAGATCTTCCTCAGCAGCGTCGTCTTGCCCGCGCCGAGGAAGCCGGTCACGATCGTCACCGGAAGCACCGGCCGCTGTCGAGTGGCGTCGTACTGCCTCTTCTCGTACATCCGGTACAGGTTAGCCTCCGATTCTGCATCCATTTTCGCCAACGGATCGATCGATCGATCGATCGATTGATCCCCGCAGGATACGCCGGAACAAAAAACTTGGTCCAAGGCGGGAATGAAGAGAGAGCCACGATCGAAGTACACACGGGGGGGGATGAGGGGTTGAGATATGAAGTCAAGGTAGAGGACGGCAAGCTCTTTACAAGTTGTGGGTGCGGTGGCGTTTGTGTTTACTGGCGTCTCTCCCATAGACGCGCTGTTGTACACAAAATGCTCACCCACCAAGGTTCCCGCATCGCTTGTTGTTGACTGAAGCGGGCATCACTGGTACCTGAGCCTTAGGCTACAGTAAGGAACGCGAGAGGAAACCAGGTCACACGATTGGTCAACCGTTATGTAAGTTGACGTACAGCACCGTATGCAGCGTTTCTCGCCCTGGGGTCCCGGATAACACGGGACGGTACGATATGTGGATGTGGTCAGAATTGCCCGTGTCACCGACAAATGGAATACAAGCATGCAAGCATGCAAGCATGCAAGCATGCAAGCATGCAAGCATGCAAGCATGCAAGCATGCAAGCATGCAAGCATAAAGACGACAAGCACGTCCGTCACAGCGCCAGAGCCACCAGCCCCCCCAACACGTACCGATTTCAAGACCTGCCTCCGCTTCCCTCCACGCTCGAGCATTTTCGGCAAAACAACTTCCCTCTTCCCCGGTGACACAAACCCGTGCCCTTGGCTGAACCCACAAACGCAGTACTTGCAGCGTTAACAGCACTTTCAGCATGCTACCGACCAAAATACTGCATTCGTCGCAAAATATACATAGATTGCCAATACTGCCGTAAACAGCTCTCACCCACACGATTAAGCTTGTACCTTTTGATGTCTCTTTGGCCCCGCTATGCTACAGCAGTCGTATGCACACATCGATATTTGAACGAACAAGTTGGACAGAATGCCGGGAATCTCATCCAGAGTACTCTGTAGGGCTGATGTGGGCAGTTGCATGGCGTAAGATACCACCCCCCTTGACCGATTTCCAGAGCTTCAGAGCTTAATTACTCTGTAGGAGAAACGGTGACGGTGCCAAAATGGCGGCACTGGAACCCTCTTATCGAGGGGCTTTTCCGAAAACGTACAATTTGATTGTGGCATCCTCTTTGTTGTGGAGTAATCGGGCTTGGACATCGATCAACAGGTGTGGTATCTTCCGTAACCTGCGGTAGAGCTGACTGTCTCTTTGCTTGGTTGCACCTTGTTCAAACTTTCAAACACATCATATATCACGCGTACTAGTTGCATTCAATGCAGCCCTAGCGATGTGAACAGCTGCTGTACACGGGACACCGCGCCTGCTCTTCTACTGCTGTTGCACGTAGCGTCAGGTGCTGAGGTCGATGGCCGAGAATGTTCAATGCACGCAGACCAAGCGCGTGACTGACATGGTCCTAAAAGTAGGTCCCCCAGCATTACCTCAAACTTCACCTCAAATAAGTGTCGATGCTTTTTCCCCTGCGTACTTAGACGTGTGTTTGTCTCCTCCGTCGGTGTTGCCACTGCTGCTCTGCTGCAGGAACTGACGACCTGCCATTGGACGCGAGTTCGGAGTAAGTTCGAAATTGGTGCGCAAGCCTCCTCTTCGAAAAAAAACAGGAAAAACGCCGTACTAGCTTTCTCTCTCGATCAAGCTGCCTCTCTTTCACTCCCTCTTAGAGTTGAGCTTGGCGCAAAGGAAGCTGCAGCACAAGAGAGCACCCGACTCAGCCATCCCGACTCCAGGGAGATTCCAACATGTTCAACGCACGGGCGCTGATTAGGAGCGGGCCGGTGAGTAACCCTGCAGTCGTGCACATCCCAAGGACAACAAGGATTTCTTAGCTTTTTTTTCTCGATCCCTCCCCCCACTTTCCACAGCAGGCTGAGATTTGACTGAGCGGCAGTTGCAGGGTGTGCCGCATGTACGACGTGCCATGGACGATCGGGGAATGTTTGGGGCAATGTGCGTCAAGTTCTCTTGGAGGGGTGTCACCGAACGTCAAATCTGTGTCTGTTGGATGGAGCTTTTGCGAAGTGATCAGCCTCTAAATTCGTACCCGCACATACGCACCCCACCAAGCTGCAGTTTTCTCGTTCCAATCATCCTTTTCAGTGATCCTTTTGCTTTGCTCATCCTGATGACTCGAGTCTCTCGTTGAAGCCAAAGCACAAGCGTGTCGACGATCTCAACCTTCAGCAGATCAAACCCTCTATCCACCCTCGACTTCCACGGAACGACAGATCTGTAGCAAGAGAGAAGGGTGCGCTTGAAGACGATGACATCATGAAATTTCACTTCAACTTAGACAAGGCTTTTTTTAGACTGTGAACTGCTGTAGGCTGTGGCGCACAGAAATTCATGTACACATCGAACAGCCGAGGGAAAGAGGAGGAGAACGCTGTGGATCAAACATGCCAGTTGTGGTGTGTCGTGTGTGATGCCCCGCCAACTGCTGTGGCTTGCGATCAACAACGGCGTTGCCCCAAGTTTTTTCTCTTCTTGTGATGGGCTCGCGGTCATCCACATCCTCCGCAGCAATTCCACGGGAACCCGAACAACACGTTTTCTCCTCGCTCCTCACTGCTGTCTCTCGAAGTGCGTACCACCAGTGTTGTCTGTCGTTGGAGCACGCTCTTTCGGCGCCCTCGTTGTACGTATGTTGCCCAGCTACGCACGTACTCCACCCACACTAAAGTACAAACACACCCGTTTCGAGATTTGGAGGCATGAGGCGAATCTCAGGAGTGAACCGTTCGGTGAACGTCCCGATGTATCATATTTTCAGCAGTTTTATGGGTACCACCCGGCTCCCGAAACACCCACACACAGCAGCAAATAGTTGGGTGGAGCTGGCTTGATTGTTGAAACGGGGAACGCGAAGCTTAAGCTCGCCACCGTCGCCTCGCCTGGGAATCCCAAGACCTCATCCGGCCGTTCGTCGATGTCAAACATGCAATATATTGAATAAACACCAAACTTTCGTGAGTGGGTTCTCTCTCGACCCCATAAAAGAGAGGGCAGAGAGTCCCATCTTGTCGTCTCCCTGACACTGCAGGATACCGGTAGTCGTTGAACGAGGAAGAGCTAAATAGATACCGCCGTTGTCGGGATTGTGCTCGATCTTCTATGTTCTCTGCAGCAGCGAAAGAGTCAACGTGTGGCCAACAGCACGTGACGGCGCAACCGCGGTGGCCTACAGTAGGTACACGACGGACAGCAGGGTCTTTTGCGGCGCAACAAACACGTGTGCTGTGTCCGGAATGTATCAGCAAGATTTTAAGCTGCAACATGGAAGGCGAAGCTGCTCTCTCAGATACAGTGCGGACGCCTGATGTATTCATGGTACATAACACCGCGTTTCGAAATATACTCTTAGTTCCAGAGACCCCCCCCCCCCCTACCCCGTGCGACTCGCCGAATACCTCACGGTGCGCTTGGTGATGTGAGAGCCTGGTCCGGTGAGAACCCGGAGTGCTCCGCCCCGGCTTTGTAGGAATGCGAGGTCAATGGTCTAACGTGTACGGCATTCACGACTATGAGAAATGAGTACACCCCCCCCTAGCCCGTGGTCCACGCATCGAATCGAAGGCCAGCAAGCCTAGTATGCATGGTGATGCAATGTTTGGCGCTTGACTCGTCCATGCGATGCCGTCATGTCTCTCATCGCAACAGGAGGCTGCCGCGGCACTGACAACGAGGTACCAGGAGCAGACAAGCAGCAACAACAATGCGTCGGACGCGGAGCAGCAACTCCGACAGCCCATCTCGGCCTCCGAAGTAGACGAGGCTAGCCAGATGATCTTCCAGAGGGCCCCCGCCACCCCTTCTGGTCAGTCTAGTGCTTGAGGCAGCTTAGTTTTTCAAAAGTTGCATCACGTTGGAGTCGACGAATCCGGCATGTCCTTCGCATGCCCACGTGTGTATGTCGTTTCGTCCGGTAGGGATGTAGGGATGCAAGGCTTATTCGCTTGACAATCATTTGCATTGTGAGTTCATGAGCACCCCACACACACTGCGCACCTCTGATCGAAAGCCACCCCTCAGCCTGCGGCGCCGCCTACGCTTTTGTGAGGTTGAAGTGGTTTCCGTGCAGTCCACGCTGCCCCTGAAGCTGACACAATCGGTTAAGGATGATTTCGCCGTTTGATTGGTAACTCCGTGCTATCTTGCCCAGCACATGAAACCTGATTCCGTACTACTGTGGAAAGTTTAGTGTGTGTGCTCGGTCCCATCCGTTCATCCCCTCTCTTGTCGGTGTTTGTTGCTCGGGCTTTCGGGTGTTGGGTGAACGGCTCGTGTCGTGTCATAGGGGTCCCTTTCTTGTTGGTTCCCTTCTCTTCTCTCTTTCTTCTCCTCCTCTGTGGGTGTCGTTCGTTTCAAAGCCTTGGATGGGAACGAAGGTAGCGTTGGACTTGAAACACAACACGCAGTACATTGGGTTGCGAATTCGAAGATTTTCTGTGAAAGATGGATGGAAGCCGCGATGCTTCGTACATCTTTCCTGTGTTGGACTACCGTACACGACACAAGATAACACA